GAATGCCATAAAGCAGATCGTTAGGCTGAGTGAAAGGAGGCCAGTTTCCACACACATTGTTTCTGCTCTCATGACTCTGGCATCACACAGTGCGTAGGTGTACTAGTCCCCTAGGACCAGCTTGTAAGAACAAATGCAGCATTTGCAACCAGCGCTTGAATAACTGTGTTTTATTTTCTTACTAGGAGAGAAGTCAACGGTTGACTGAGTAAAGTTGCACTGTTTGAGGAGCTGAAGAAAGTCACTCACTGGCTTCATTATTAAATCCCCTGAGAAAAGAGAAAAAATGAATTTCATTGGCCTCTGTCTCACTACTCCATTAATCAGATTTTCTCTCAAATATCATTTCCTTTGGTCAATTTTACAGAGACTCTTATTAGAGACTTTCTAATGGCAATTCCTTCTTGGTATATATTTTTATGAGCATGAAATCCTCAATAATAAATAAATAAATAAATAAATAAATAAATAAATAAAAACTGAGGCTGAAAGACATTAAGTAGCTAGCCCCTCAATGGCCAAAAGTGGTCCATTATGCAGAAAAACTATTGTCTCTTTCATCAATGAAAGAGACAGTGAAAGAGATGGGTGACTGGAGAACAAAGATTTGGTGCAGATCTTTCATTGACCGAAAGAAGATGCGGTCAAGATCTTTTACTATCTTGAGATTGTCGTCTCTACGAAGAGACTCATGGAAGTGATACACATTCCCTGGCAAAGAAAAGAGTTGCCTGTGTGTCTCTGAAGTGTGCCCAGCCCAGACAAATGCAGGGCCCTTCAGTTGTCCTGACCATGTGCCAGTGACTCCGTGCCAAGAAAAGACTGGCCAGCATGGAGACTGACATAGAGAGGCCCAGGGAGTCGTATGCTCCTTGAATCACATTATCAGAGATTGAAATGAATTTTGTTTCTTTTTAAAACCTTCTAGGACTAATACAATATGAAGGTCACTTGTATCTGAAGAAAGAACGCATGCTAAAACATGGTCTAATTATGAAATATTTTGAAGGTTTCTATTTAACAACTTAATTCCTAACCAGAAATTACCATAATCTCCCTAGTCATCCTGTGCAGAAATGCAAGGGTGCATAATTATCATCACTGGAATCATTGATAAGAATGATTGGCTGCAAGTAGCAAGGTGGTACTAATCTAGGTGTAATGTTACTTATCACTGTACCCATTAGATAAAAAAGCTCATTTAAATTTTAGGCAAAATGTACAGAAGCACACTTAGGGAAGTGTGCTTCCCTAAACACATTGTGCTGCCCCCATTACAAACACTGGCCTCTTGATTGGCTGCATGTCACGGACACCATTGTTGCCCAAAGCCAGAAGTTGACCTGTTGGACTCTCCAAACCTTTCCCCCTGTCGGCAGCTCCCTTCCATGGCAGTCATGGGCATTTGCTTGTCCCCTAGAAAGTGGCTTTTCAAAACCTGTCAGAGCAGGGGACAGTCATTGGGTTCCCACAGACAGAATCACTCCCACCCCCGCCCCTGCCTCCATGGGCATGTGGCACTTCTGGCGCCAACCAGCTCCAGCAGTTTCTGCTCAGACCTTCTGGGCGCCTGTCAAAGACCATTTGTGACAGGACTTGAGAAAAATAACAAAGCAGCTCTCCCCTCGAGCCCTCTGAGGAATTCGAAAGCCGAAGTGGGGACACATAGGCTCTTTGTAACCCCAGGTACACGGTGTCAGCTGCCTTCTGAGGCTGGCAGGGCCAAGGGACAGAATACAATGAAATGCTCAATTGGGCTGCATCGGCTGCTCAGGACAGAGGATGCCTTTTATTAAAGAAAGTAACATTGTGCCTCCTGCCAAACTGAGGTAATTTCCTTTCCTTTTCTATACTTCCTAGCATTCCAGATTAGTACATTTTAACAGTATTTGCCAGAGCTCACCTGAAGAAAGCAATTCTCAAATAAAAAACTTAAAGAAATATTTTTGTTCAGGGCCCAGACCCATAAAGAATAACTACCACAGGCTTTTAAAAATCACAACCTAATTTTACAACTAATTACTTAAATAAGCCAAATAAACAGACCAGTTTTGTCTCAAAAAAAAAAAAAAACCCACCAGAAACATATAACCTGCCCCAGAGTTCGATAGAGTCAACACAGAAAATGCCTCACCGCACCCTGTCCCCTGTCTTCCCATTTGTCTTCCATTCATTCAGTCAATTATGTTGTGTCTGAAGCCAAGATCCTTATATACATTTAAATACATATATTTATTTGACAAAAACAGTGATCAAATTTTAATTACTAGAGTTTTTAGGGACATGTTTAAATAAAATCAGATCTTTGTGTTAATGACATATGAGCCAACAGAGACTTTAATTTGATTCTAGACCTTGTGGAACCAGTAAGGGAACAGGCTCCTTCAGGTCAATCGCCTGTTCAAAGAGCAAGGAGACAACCAAAGTGTCCCTTGATGGGTGACTGGAGAAAGAAGATGCGGTGCAGATACGCAGTGCACTAGTACCCAGCCATGAGAAAGATGAACTACTGCCATCTTTGACAACATGAATGGCCCTTAAGAATATCATGCTAAGAGAAAGAAGTCAGACAGAAAAAGTTAAGAACCATATGATCTCACTCATATGTGGGATGTGAAACTGAAAGCAGTAAATGAACAATCAGGGTGGACAAGCAGACAAAAACTCATCAACACAGACAACAGTATGGTGGTTACCAGAGGGAAAGAGGAGGAGGTAGCAAAGAGTAAAGGGGGTGAAATATATGGTGATGGACGATGATTTGACTTTGGGTGATGAACACACCATCCAATGTACAGATGATGTATTACAGAGTTATACACTTGAGACATACAATTATATGTTGTATGTTTATATAATATGTATAATTATTTTATCATATATGTAATTTTATTAACCAATGTCCTCTCAATAAAATTGTAAAACGAGAACACCAAATAGGACCAAGTGATAACTCCAACATCTAGCTTTGAGAGAGCTAGCACTTCTCCCAGTTTCTCTGGTGGTGCGAAGTCACCACCTCATGAGTGCAATTGATGTGGGAAAGAAAGGAATGAGGGCAACAAGTATCATATCTATCGTGCACAGGCTCTCTGACGGGACTTTCACATATGTGACCTTGCTCAGTCCTCACCACACTCAACAAGCCTAGCTCATATGACAGTTTAGAGAACTGAGGCTGAAAGACATTAAGTAGCTAGCCCCTCAATGGCCAAAAGTGGTCCATTATGCAGAAAAACTATTGTCTCTTTCATCAATGAAAAATACGTTCAATCAATTCAATTCAACATGCACTCACGGTTGGATTCAGATCTGAGCTATAATACAGATACAATGCTTTCTCATGAGAAATCACAGGGTATTGAAGTTCATTCATTTATTCACACTTCCTATGATATTATAATTAATGATCAACCTAAATACTAGTGTGGAAAAGGCCCTATACTGGTGCAGAAGAGAATGATTCATTGCACACTAGGTGAAAGGTGCTTCTGTTGATTTAGAAACCGTGGCCCAGTCTTTTCAATGTAAAAACTTCTTTTGTTTGTCAAAAAGATTTGGGTACCCCTTGCCCCCCATGATAGCACTTTATGTTTAATACCTTTTAATTGAGAAAATACATATCCACGATAACTTGATAACTGTTTGGCACGGAACTTTTATTTCGATGCCTTATTTACTGATATTGGCAAAACTCAAATCCATCTATTAGATAATGCACAGAAGTGTTGAAGGAGTTCAGAGGCATGGCTGTAAGAGAATTCTCCCTCCAAGCATCTATGACCTGTAGGTTGAGAATCATTGTTTCAAAGATCAAGAAAGAAGACAAATGTATGGAATAAGGAGGCACTGGTCTGCAGTCAATCTTGGAGAAGATCTTTAAGGAGATGGTGGTTTTAAAAGAGAAACTACAAAAAGGGCTTAGCTGGCACTGACCTAGAGAATTTAATTAATCTATTTCATGGGGCTAATTTCCTGGTAGCCTCCACTGGTTTGCTGGGCCTGCTGTAACAAATTACCACAAACCAGATGGTTTAAAACAACAGAAATTCATTCTCCCACAGTCTGGAGATGAGAAGTTCAAAATCAAGGTGTTGGTGGTGGGGCTGCATTCCCACCAAAGGCCCCATTTTGGAATCCTTCCTTGCCTCTCTCAGTTTTTTGTGACTTTTAGGGATTCTCTGCCTTGTGAATGCATCACCAGTCTCTGCCTCTGTCTTCTGATGGCCTTCTCGAGATTGTCCAACTGTGTCTTCTTGGTTGCTGACAAGGACACCTGTCATTGGATTTACATGGGCCCAGATAATTCAGGATGACCTCTTCTTGAGATCTTTAACTTCATTATAAATGTGAAGACCTTCTTTCTAAATAAAGTCATCTTCACAGGTTCTGGGGGTTAGGATAGGGACATATCTTTTGAGGTTTCACCATTCTACCCATGACAGAGCCCAATGCCCCACTTAGAGCCCCTGGTTTAGTACAAGGAAAAGTATAGTCTCCAGAGGGTTTAAAAGTAATGGCTTATGAGTTGGGGGAGTTGCAGGGGCCTGAGTTCAGGGGTCTAAGTGATCACAAAGGCCTGCTCAGTTCATCTATTGGCTACCTTCTGAGGGCTATAGAAAGGTACCTTACCTTTAAATATGCTATAAAACATGAAATATACTTTAAAACTTGAGATAATTTTGTTGCTTTCTTCCTGATCACAATAGTAATGCATAGTAACTAACAAGTATTTTAAATAATCACAGAAAGAAAAATGAAAATAAAAGAAGCTGACTATTCCATAACTCAGAGAAAAATTAGTCCGGGTGTACTCCCCACCTGTGCTCTCCCTGCCTGGATTCCTCACTGCTAATATCAGCTCCTTTGGTTGGACTCCACCAGTCTAACCAGGTTAAATGATCTATGTTTAGATTTTAAACATGTCTATTCTAAAAAAATGGTATTAACATTTTAAATTATAACACCCCTAATATCTATCAGTAATAAGTCAAGATTTATAAAGTTTGATTTCTAAAACAATACTTGTATTTTCTATAAAACATTCCATACCTTGACCATGACTTTGTCATAACCCTGCTCTCCAGTCATATATGTGAGAATACATATAATCTCATTTACTCGTTACCATAGCCCTCAAAGCTAGGCAGATTTACACTTGATCTTAGCCAAAAGGCCGAGAAGCAATAGGCAGATTTAAATAAGAGTAAAAGTAAGGCTTAAAAAACCCAAAGCAATTTGCTGCAGACGACACAGCAGGCAAGTCACAGAGCCGGGACCAGTGCCCAGACCATACAACCGCAGAGGCATCAAGCCATGTGGCTTCAGAAATAATAGTTGCTGGGGTTTTGATGCTTGGTTTGCTCCAGGCAATGCACTCATACATTCTCTCACTCCTTTCCTTATTCTTTTTACACAGTTATACACATATGTTCTGCTTTACATACAGTCTTTCCTTAAAATTTTTGGCTTAGCTTGTAAGGTATATCTCTCCATTCTCAGTTTACTAAAAAGGAAACAATGTTTCCTATCCCACATAACCCTGGGGATGCTGGGAAGAAATGGCACTGGGAGAGTGCCGTTTACCAGCAGAGTATAACCAACGGACAAGCCAGTGCTTGTTTTTCTTTCATTTTTCCTTCTTCCTCCTGATATTTCCCAAATGGTGGCAAATATCACTAACCTTACTGGGTGCTGAGGAAGTGTAAGGTAATTGAGTACTGACTTTAAAAAAAGCATTTGCTGAAAACATGTTCTAAGAATATACAACAAACCTTATACAAACACGCCACTATTTCATTTAAAATTAAATTTCCTCATATATAGCACACCTTGTTTCACTCTATTGTTAACTGATACACGTTAAAAGTGAGAACCAGGAATACTGTTCTAGTACATTTTCCCAAAGAGCATATGTATAAATAAATATATATTTAATGTATAATAATTTATAACTTATACATATTTAATTTATAATATAATATATAATATAATAATATAATTGATATATTGACAATATTGCCTGTATAATGAGTGTATATTATATATTAATAAATAAGTGTAATATATAATGCTTTTTTATTATGTGCTTTTTAAAACTAAATATTAGATTAGGAATATTTCTTAATGTGTCTGACTTGTTAACTGTATACATGACTGAATAACATCTCCTTTTATATAATTACCATTACCTATTTGTCTATTTTCCTATTGCTAAGCATTTAGGACCCTTTTTTCCTTTCTATTATAAACAACACAGAAAGGAACATTTTTACACAAATCTTTGTCACCACCTCTGGTTATTTCCTCGACATAGATTCCCAAAGTAGATTTATGATATTTTAATGCTCTTCATAAAAATTGCATGCTTGCTTTCCAGAGTGTACCAATTCATACTTCTAGCAGTTCTTATTTTCCACATCCTTACAAGAACAAAATACTATCTTTTTAAAAGTATTTGCTACAGTTATGTGAAGGAAATTATCCTCAGTTTTATCTAGTGTATTTTATGATTACTGTGGAAGGACAGGTTTTAAAAAACTGTTTTTAGCCTTTTCCCGTTCTCTTCTGTGATAGGTGCATGTTCTTTGTGATATTTCCTGCTGGGCTCTGAGAGCTGTATTGACTGGGGCTCTCTTCTCTGTAAACAGGCCAGAGCACTGTTAGTGTGCATAAATAGGATTTTCACAAGGAAACAGTTAATTCTTCACTTTTTCCATGATGATAAAGTGTTGCCTGCACTGGGTTTGATGTTCTTATGACATTTTATGAGAAAACATCTTATGATGACGGAGGCCCCGCAGGGCACTGCTGCAGTGCAGACTGCTGCAGGTGGTGTGAGAAACGGAGTAAAAGTGACAAGTGCTTAGCTATCTCAAACTCATTCCGAATGATTATAAGTAACTCTCCCCTCAGAGGAATTAAGTTCAAAGTATATTTTCTAATATTTTAGCCATTTCTCTTTTTAACTAAATTATAGAGCATTTGGAAATGGTTATTTAATGGGAGAACATTTCCCTAAGGGTTCTATTTATTTCTTCTAAAATTCCAGATGAATCTTTTACCTTCTGGGTATGGTGAAAAGAAATGTCATCTCATTTAAGTACTATATTTGGTATACAGAATGAATCTTCCTTATCAATGATGCTGATTATAATTCTGTACCTTGTGTAAGTAAGTGCTTTTCAAGTTCAAGTCTCACGTTTCCATATACATTCAAGGGCGAGGGCCTGGCAGTGGGACAAGCTGGCTCAGTCAGCCTGGGTTACCCACTAACTCCCTAGCTTCTTCCCGTGTGTCTGAGTCTGTCTTTGGCAGTGGAGCCACAGGGAGTCTTTCTTCTGTTAAAGGGGGGAAATAGCAAAGTAATGTATGAGAACTCCTCCTAGGCAAACAGGCGCCATTTCTCAGAAATCAGCAAGAGATTGCACAGAGATTGGCTGGAGGCTTTAGGTACAGAACAAAGGGAGAACCCGAGACAGCATCTGAAACAGAACAAGGCTGGGGCCACCACAACATAAAATTACAGAAAACAGACCTCAGTACAAGGAATCAGTCATAACTGGAGACCGGCACTCAGAGAGGTTGCCCTGTGTTGGAGAGAGCCCAGGCAGAGACAACCCCTGAGGCGCTGCTCCATGAAGTCTGCTCCTTTTTTTAAAATAGGGACTCAGTTTCCACTGTGGCCGAGCTGATTAGTAAATATAACAATTGGTTGTAATGGTGACTTTGAACCTATAAAATACTGAAGTGCTTTTTCAACCATTACAAATATATTGGGTTGACTAGAGTCCATATGTTTTTTTTTCCATAAAATAAAAGACACATTTTTCATTTTCACCAATAACTTCATTGATTTGGATATTTTTTGTATGTCAGCTATTGCCTGCATGGTAGAATGCCGATTCTTCTCAATTAATGTCTCAACTTGACCACTATCAACTTCAACTGGTCTGCCTGACCGTGGAGCATCATCCAATGAGAAATCTCTGGCACAAAACTTCACAAACCACTTTTGACATGTTCAATTGTTCACAGCACCTTCTCCATACGCTGCACAAATCTTTTTTGTGTGTTTTAGTTGCATTTTTATCTTTCTTGAAATAATAAACCATAGTGCACTGAAAATGTTGCTTATTTTCTTCAATCTTCAGTATTAAAATGGCTACATCAAAATTCACCAATTTTGATAAGTTTATTTTTAAATACATGCTGATATATAAATACAGCTGACAGCTGTCACAATACAATCTAACAAAATTGTTTTGAATAAAGTTAAAGACAACTAAGCACTACTAGAGCCATCTTATGGAAAAACACCACACTAACTTTTTTGTGACCCCAATGTTTTATTACTATATTTTACATTATGACATGTGGAGTTAAGATTATATTTTTACTTCTAATTTTTTAAACATACATGGGCTCTTGACCACAATATTTAATTGTCTAGAACTCTTTCTAATCATGTGGGAATAATAGATTTTCCTGTATGGCTTCTGTCTCTTGCTCAGATTTTAATTCATTTAAGAGCAAGGGGCTGAGTTTTCTGTTTTCTTTGGTCTCCCAGCAGGCCGCAATTGAAATATAGCCTAATGGCTTGGAAAAGTTAATCCATCTCTGAAAGGTACTGGAGACCAGCTCACTAAGCAAGGGCTGGACCAGTGTTTTAAATCCTGTGGTGAGAGAGCCCCCATCTTGACTTGCTGCACCTTGAACTAAGCATACTTGTTGGCAACAGTCTTAGCAACAGTACTTATCAATCAAATTCTTGTGGAGATGAGTCAATGACATGACCCTGGAGCCCATTTCAGAAGCCAAACTTCAACTTACTAACAGCCCTAGGATCAAACATTATGCTGCACAGAGACACAAGTCTGCAGACAATAAACGATTCCATTATTCATGGTTTTGGTATGCTATTTATGATGGTTTTAACTCTTTGATGAGAATGTATTTTAAGTCTTCTCATTTGTTTTCTATGTGTTAGGTATGTAAGTTGCAAGACTCCGTAGTCATAGTCCAATCTTTTCATTAATTACATGTTTTCTTTAAAACAAATCTGGGTATAATTTTTAAGGGTTCATTTGTCAAACTTTGTGATCCTTTAAAAATCCTGTGACTAAGGAAACTCTACTTTAAAAATACCAACATTTTATAAGCAATGCTAACTTTTACAGGAAATACTTTGTTTTGAAAGGTTTATTAAAATAAGTCTTGACTTTTAGAGTTAAGGTGACTTTCAATAGTGGATTGGCCCCTAAAACATTGAAAAAAAATAGGCTTATATCATAGTTTGCAAGGGTTGAATTGGGAAAAAGGAAGTAGTTTCTGGAGTATCGTTAGCATTCTCACACCTTTTAAACTACCTCCCAAGGAATACGCTTAAGAACTTGCTTATAATATTTCCTTCATTACTCACAAAAATATTTTCATGGAAATTTCATCATATGACATTACAGTTGCCTAAAAATCTTATTTTTGTCTTGCAACATTTCCCTTTCAGACATGAATATTTCTGGGGAATTAGAGAGAAAAAACTTAGTATTTTACTTAATAACTACTAAGAACATTTCAGTAGGCAAAATAAATACTTTGAGGTTAATTTTGAAAATAGAAAAACCCTATTTACCCTGTTATAACTGGAAAATTATGTGCATGATATTTTTAATATGGATCTCATTTCAGATGAAATTAAAATGTCATTTTCTTCATTAAGCTTATGTTTAAATCCAAAGAAAAAAATTCTAAATGGTAATGGAAAAAATATCATAAAGATTAAATTAAAAAAATTAAAACTGATGCAATTATGTACATTAGAGAAAACACCATTATTGCATGATAAACTGTTTGCTGTTAAATATAACATTAAATATAAAAGGAGGAAAAAAATTCTATTTTATTATGCATATATTTGTATTTTCATAATATATGTCTACATGTTGTTAAAAATGATTAAAACTTAAGAATTCTGTCCCTGATTAATGTGGCTCGGTGGACTGGGCATGGTCCCACAAATCCAAAGGTTGCCTGTTGGATTTCTGGTGAGGGCACATGCTTGGGTTGCTTGCATGCCAAGTCCCTGGCTGGGGTGTGCAAGGGGCAACTGATCGATGTTTCTCTCACAAACTGATGTGGCTTTCCTCTGTTCCTCCCTCTCTTCCCCTCTCTTTAAAACAAACAAATAAA